AGTTACAAACACTAAGTTCTTTTATGGAACATACAAAACATCGCTAAGTGTTAACTCTTTTCTATGTTATACCATTTCTGGAATGTTTTAAACACCAAATTGAAGTGTTTAGAATCACAATTTCAAGCATAAATTTTTGCCTCAACTTGGACAACCTTATAATTCTAGAGTCACTCCCTCTGTGAGCACACATGGCGTGTAACACCCACATCAATCCATCACTCAATGGAGTTAGCATCCATAGAGTTTACTTCGGAAATCGTTCCACTTTGGATAGTGACATTTATGAAATCATTTATACCCAAAATATAAATGTTTAGAATTCTAATTTCCAGAAAATATGTTTGTCTATTGCTTGGACAAAACTCAATATAATTAAAAATCTATATTTGAACAAATATGAAACTTGATTTATGATGTAGAAATTTAAAAATTTGATTTCTCATGCAGAAAACTGATGCATAAATTATGATATCAGAAAATCTGATGTTTTCTTTCAATAAAACTATTTAAAATGTGATGTTTTTAGGTAAAACCAAGTTGTTTTCTGATTTCCAAAGCTGTTTTACATAAAATTGAAGTCGTTTTGTACTAAACAAAGCCTCTTTGTTTTTCACAAAACAATGCAGTCTGTTCAAGACTGTTTTAGCCCCACTTAAACTTGTAAAAAATGAAATCTAAGTTCATAATCCAGTAGTCCTGTCTCTTATCTTTTCAGTGACTACTTTCACAAGTTCATATGATTTATCTACAATTTATTATGAATTTTACAAAATTGTGTATAATAGTTGTAAAAATCTAACCAGTCAATGAAAATCGTATTTTTCACCCTAGTTAGATTTGTTTACAGATTTCGGCCAAAATTAATGAAACGAAATAAACTCATATACTAATGTTTGAGAATTAGTTTCAACCAAAAATGAGCATCCATGTTTAAGTTATGATTTTTCAAATATTAGGAAAGATTAGAGCATTTCATAGCAACATGTAAATTGTGTTTTTGGTTAAGCTAGTTTCTTAACCCATTAGGTACTTAATAGAATCAATACCGAAGCTGGAAAATATGATACATAAAACCAAATACATATATTAATGACTTAATGACCAAAGGTGCTTCAAAATCACAAAAAAATCTATTTTTTCTTATTTTGTACGTACAATGTCAAAAAATGTAAGTAAAATTGTTTCCGATTTCTAGTTTGATTCGTACAAACGATTTTTTTAAGATTATATGAATAATATTCCTATAATGTACGAAAACAAACAAGAAAATAGAAAAACTAAGGCATGCGTTTAACACATTGTCCTTAAAACAAATTCGCCCGCTACCGAGTGTTTGTTACCCAATATACAACAGTTTGAAGTGGTTCTTTTAGACCACTCGAACCCTCAATAGCATGAATTATATCCTCAATATAGCTAGAAAAAAGAAGAAGATTAAGTAGGGAAGAAAATAGTTTTCTTTCATTCTTTTGGTGTCTTTAAATGGTTGTAGAGTAGTAATATTTATACTAAACATTCTATAACCTCCCATTTAAACACATTTATTAATCATAAAGATTAATGTGTGTTAATATGTAACTAAATTGTAATATTAATTAAAATTTTAGTTATGAAAGAAAGATATATTTGTAAGAAAGGTCCCTGAACTTTTCTTTTCTTTCTCCTATCCATTAAACTCTTTTATTTATGTCTTCCAACATCGTTACATTAAGGATTCATTTCTCATTCATATTAAATCCATTTTGGACGTGTTAAAAAGTGGGGAAACCCTGTTTTTTTTATAAAATTGGGTAACACCAATTTTCCAACACTCACTAAGTTTTGTGCTTACGGTCTTCAGTTTATGTTTTATGTACTTCTGGTTCGAAGGGGAAGAGCCCGTGATGATTGCAGTGCACACACCACATCACTCCATATTGTATATTATTCTGATATATTTAGATGTTATTGATACACTTTGATTTACTATGGTTTTGATGATGTTGTCTTGGATAATGGTTTTATTAATTTAAATTTTAGAATTTTTAGTTTTAAATTTTGGGACGTTTCACAACTAGTTTTTTACACCTTGTTCCCGAGTTCTAGTGAAAGAAATAAAAGGGATAGGAAAATATGAAGAGATAAGAATGGAAGAGAAAAAAAAGGAAATTATATGCTGGCATTTTTAAGTTTGAAAGAAATGAAAGGAAGATTTGAAAACAAACACTCCTTAATAAGCCTACATCCATCCAAATTTGTCCAAATTTGGAGGAAGATTAGGAGAAAAGATAATCATTTATATTGAATTAACTTTTTTCTCTCAAATTCCTTCCAAAAAAATAATCTTAGGAACAAGATAATTTATATTTTCTTTCCGGTTATATTCACTTCCCTTCTTTTCTCTCCATAAGTTGGAGTCGGGAACAAGGTGCTTTCTTTAAGCAACCAAATGTATTGAAAGAGAAAAACTAACAAGGAGCTAGAAAAGAAATTACAAATAATTCAGATGATTGTTTAACCAACTAATCCAATCTAAGAACTCTTACGATTCCTATTTAAGAACCATAAAAACAAATTTTTTTTAATGGAGTCAACATGTTCGCTTTTTCAAATCTTCCACGCTTGAAAGACCATACTATTCCTGAATTTCCATATGTACCAAATGAAGTACACATGATGTCATCAACTACTTCTATCTTTTTGGAGCTAGCCGATAAGTTATCAATAAAAAAAATAGACATTGGGGTGAAAATCAAACTCCAACCTATCCAATTCCAGCCACACGAAAATTTCATCACAAATTCTAGCAACCACTTCACACCTAATAAAAAGATGATTAAGCCGTTCCACATGTAATTCACATATCGAACATAAAACCAACATGACATCTATATCCCGACTCAATAGGTTACTACGAGAATTCTATCCATCAAAACTAACCATAATATTTACCTTCCCAGACACATAAGGTTCTGCCTGGTCTCCGTGCCACAGAAGGAAGACTAAATTTCAAGGCAAAAATGTCATCATTTCCTTCCTGACCTTAAAAATGTAATCAATGATAAGGAACACATTTTCTTTTATTTCCTTTGTTAAAAAACTAAAGAATATACTTCCTTCCTTAAGTAAACTAAAGAACATGATGCAAGCACTAGACAATCTTTTTAGACTCTTTTTAGTAATTTTAAAGAGTTGTTATTATTTCAACAAGTGACAAACATATCTACAAATTTATTTTGTAAAGCTAGGTATTTTGGCTAAAAGGTGGATGATTTTACAAATCTTTTTATAAAGTTGTGAATTTTTGTCCAAACAAGTAAAAACTGAAAAAAAAAGGTACATTTCTTGAGTAGAATAGCAAATCTATACAAAATAACCATTCTTTATAATTTTTTTTTAACTTTACATTGTCATTTGTAATGTACAAATGACATTTTTTCTTATTTTCTTATGTGAAATTGATATGGATATACATTTTCATTACTCATTTAGATATTCAGTTACCAAAATTTTACCTATTCAAACATTACACTTTCAAAACTTAGCCTTTAAAGCATAAAACTCATTATTCATACTCACGTACTATCTAATATAATCACTTAATACTAATTTATAATGTTGGTTTATTCCTTAATGTATTTCCATACTGTCACATAAATCACACTCATGGTATATTGATGCATGAAGTGCACCCATCAAAATACACATTTGAATATTTTATACTTGCTCTTTCATATTGAGTTATCAACCCTTACCGTATTCTAGAGTATGCTACAAAAAGTTAACTGCTTCCTAATTAAAACAAAATGGATAAAGCTTACATTAAAGATAACATTACAATAAAAACTTAACACATTAAGATAATGTCACAATAAAAACTTTAGGTAACTGAACATATATATTGATAACAAACTTATATAATAAATGTTTATTTTTTTGGACAACTCAAAGAAGATAATTATGAGTTTTTCCAAGACAAAAATCAGCATTCATTTAAAGTGTTTGTTTATAACATATACGAAATTACAAACAAATATGAAGTTAAGACTCATATTTGTATGACATGTAAATAAGGACGAATTAAGACTTGAATTCATATAAACATGTACACACTAATACATAATGTAGTCCCTTAAATTTATGAAATAAACTATAGCATAAGCCTTACACAAGTCAATACTTAGCTATAACTTTTGATTATGGATGTTCATGATTTGGGACAACCGAAAAATGTAGTCAAGCTAAATCAAGATTGCGATATCATAATGCCACTCAATTTGGTACTAATCTTTACTTTTGACTATAAACTTATGGACATACAATAGTGATTTATGGTTAACTGGATTAGTAATGGAATTTGCGAAGAGAAATAGTAAGACATGTTCTTTTTAAAGAAGACAAAATGTCACGAACTTGTCTTACTTGGTGATAGTGTCACACTGAAAATCTTAATCATTATTCCTTATCCTTTATTTTTGGGTAAATCATGTGAATAAATTATATTTTTTTAATCAAGTTATGTGATAATCATATTAGTTTACAAATGTTTTAAGAACATAATTCACATGTCGTAGGTCATCAATATGAAATAGTCATTCTACCATTGACAAAGACATGACTACCAAAATAGATTATGGGTTTCTTATTTAACAAAAATTATAGGGTCAATTACACACATGGCCCCTGTGGTTTGGGATAATCTACACGTCTAGTCCCTAACTTTGTTTTTAACTCAGATCATCGTTATAGTTTATTTTTGTTTCGGTTTTAGTCCTTACTAATTTGAAATGACTATATTACCTTTATTGATATAATTAATTATTTTTAATCACCTTTTTATTGTTAAATCAACTTAAAAAATAGTAATAAAAAAGAGTATAGTTCCCTATCCCAATGAGCCCCTCATGATCATCCACGTTTACCTGGTTGAGACCCCAAAATCCCTTTATCCCGTTCCCCCTTTTTATTTCAATGGTGGTAGATATCCACCATCTTCACCCTAAGGAATCCCTATACAGATGCCGAAATCCACAGAAAACCTCTCGACAACAGAATCCATGGCAAAAGCTTATGTTCATCTGATCGCCTTTCAATATCGATTAAGATGTCATTTTTTCATCATATCAGGTTTAGTAGCAGTTCACATGGATGGTTTGAAGGTTTCAAGCATATTCGAGATTCAATATATCGATTTCAATACCACCTCTCCCCACACTACATTTCCTTGTCATTTCTCTAGACAAACAAAGGGTCATCAACATACCCCTGAACCCTACACCGAAATCGATTTGCAGATCCAGATAGCATTTGCAGATCCCCTCCCCAGTCGATTTAAAGATTTGGTCACCGATTCATGCCCACCGATGAATCCACTGCCACCCACTCCCGCCAAGAGCCTAAACCCCTTGTGGCAGGGTCCAATGGCTAAAATAGTTCCAGTTTTATGCACATATAAACCCAATCGACAACATTTTTTTTTTCATAACATCATCTTTTTAGAAAACAAAATCAACACATAACACATTTTGTGATTTATAAAGTATGCGATTTATATTTTATTGGTTTTGCTAGCAAGAACTCATACTTGATATGCAAATATGAGATCATAGGTGTGTTCAATTTGTTGTTGGAGTGACTACAAGATGCAGGGTAAAAAAAAATCATTTCATTGTCAGAATAATTTAGATGCTCTTGTTGTTATGGATGAAGGATGAGGGTAACTGTGTCGGATATGGGGAGGCAGGGCGGTAGTGGGGGCGACGGACATAGGTGTCAGTAGAGGCGGAGTTTTAGTGGTGTTGGTCCAATAAAGAGGGAAGAACATTTGGGTTGACTCTGGTGATCTTCTTCCACGTTTTAGTGTTGGCGGCCGATGTGTGGCGGTAATTGAGGGTTGCCATTGACCGAACAGAGCAAGGATAGAGAGAGATACAAGGTTTGGGTTTGATGGGGAAGAAAGGGCAATGAAAGGGATAAGAGGTTGTTTAGGACAACGAAGCTAATTACTATTTCTTTTTAATAACAAGTAATAAATAATAAAAAAAAATAATATATCATTAAGGGCAATATGGTCAATTTAAGTTGGTAAGAGACTAAAAATGCAACAAAAACATATCATAGGAGCCTTACGAATTAAAAAAAAATGTTAGAGACCAAACATGCATATTATCCTAAACCATAAGGACCATTCATGTAATTTACCCAAAATTCTATGGGTTGTTGTCAAACTTGCCTTTGACCAGCACTGCCTTCGACAAACTATGGGCCGAATGCAATTAGGTTTAAACGAGCCGAGCGACACAATACTCCCTCAGCCACTCAGGCCTCAAACGTATGGGCTTTTAGAGCAAAAAAGAAAAAAGAATAAAAAATAATAATAATAAACAAAAATAAAGATTTGGATCGCTCTCCTCTGAGATCTTCGCTCCCTCCCTGCCAGCCTTCTGGCTCCATGAGCTTCAGAAGAACCCCACCTTTTGCTCATTCGGCTGCAAGCTCTGTTTCCAAAAATGCCTATTCAGGTAACCTTTCATCTTTACTTCAAGAATCCATTCAAAAAGTTCCCCCTTTAATCCCCAAAAGAACCCAACTTGAATCTTTCCTCACCATCAATTGTAAATCATCCACCATAAATCTCGATAATGCATCGCACTACTTTGATTACCTGATTCTTCTACAACCCATTCCTCCAATTTCTTCATTCAATCAATTGCTTAATTCTGTATCCAAAATTAAACACCATAAAGTTGCTATCTTCCTTTATCGTAAGATGAACGAGGCTCACGTTTCCCCTAATTTAATTACCCTAAACATTGTTCTTAATTGTTATTGTGATATGAATCAAGTAGATTTTGCTTTTGGAATTTTGGGCATGATTCTAAAAAGGGGTTTCACTCCTGATATTGTTACCTATACATCTTTGGTCAAAGGACTGTTTAAAAGAAACAAGATTATTGAGGCTGTTAGACTATTCAAGAAGTTTATTAGGTTAGGTGTTAGGCCTCATGTTATGACTTATGGGACTTTGATTAATGGGTTGTGTAGGAATGGAAAAATCGAGGCTGCAGTTAGATTACACGAAGATATTATGAATGGGAATATTGGTTTAGGGTTTATTTGTAAGCCCAATATAGTGTGTTATAGCATATTGATCGCTAATCTTTGTAAAGATGGATTCATAAAAAAAGCAAAAGAGCTTTTCTTGGAGATGAAGTGTAGAAGAATCTCCCCGGATGTGGTTGTGTATACTTCTTTGATCAATGGCTTGGTTTATTCGGATAATTTAGACGAGGCTAAATATTTGTTCATTGAGATGATGAATGAAGGGATTTCTCCGAGTGTAATGACGTTTAATCTTTTAGTAAACGTGCTTTGCAAAGAAGGGAAGTCAAATGAAGCAAGTGGGTTATTTGAGTTGATGGTTCAAAGAGGAGAACATGTTGATTCTTTTTCATATAACATATTAATGGAGGGGTATTGTTGGGAGGGTAAGATTGATAAGGCCAGGGAGTTGTATATTTTGATGGTGGATAAAGGAATCGAGCCTGATGTGAGAACCCACAATGTGCTTATTAATGGGTATATCAAGATTAATAGAACAGAGGAAGCTATAAGGATCTTTAGACAAATGACTCGTAGTAGAAAAATCAAGCCCACGATTGTTACCTACAACGCGTTATTAACAGGTGTGCTTAAAAAAGGTGATGTTTTGAATGCACAGAAGCTGTTTGATGAAATGCTTCATGATCTCACACCAAGTTCTTGTACATATAACATCATGTTAAACGGGCTTTGTAAGAATGACTGTGTTTTGCAGGCTCTAGACTTGCTTCAAACCCTAGAAAACAATGGGGTGGTTGTATTGGACATCAAAGCATATAACTCTGTGATTGATGGATTGTGTAAAGCAGGAAGAATGGAGACTGCTTGGGATGTATACATGAAACTGTCTTCTAAAGGCTTGGTTCCAACTGTTGTAACTTATAGTATCTTGATACATGGGTTTTGTAAAACGGGTCAGTTAACAAAAGTGGATGATTTGTTTTTGGAGATGCTGGAAAAGGGTTGTGTCCCAAATGCTGTTACTTTTAATGCATTTATGCGAAAATTCTCTCGTTCTGATATGTCGCCTAAAGTGATTGAGTTGCTTAAGAAAATGGTGGAGAATAAAGCTGTCCCGGATGCATTCATGGTCTCCTTAATATCAAAAGATGAGAAATTTGGATATGCTTTTGAACACTTAGGGATAAAATCATGAATTATGTATAGCCTTTTAAAGAAGAAAAGAGATCAAGGTTGGACCCACCCGACCCGTGAAGTTGAAACCAGGTTACCATCCATATCAATCAGGCTCCACATCCAAACAGGTATTAGACGGGCCCCCATCATCTGTCTTACTTTTATATTAATTTGTGATTGTAATTCCTTGACATTTTGTTTGTGGGAATTTTCTTTGGTTCTTTATAGTTGAAGGGTTCAGAGCAGCAGGAAGCTGTTTGAATATTTGGTTAAAGTGGACATCCATGAGGCATGAAAGGTCAGAAATCCTTCAACTTTTTAAAAAAGTTTCAGCTTGTGATTCCTTTCATTGACTGATGAACTTTCTGATGCCTAATTATTTCAATGGATTAAGTGGTCTAGTTTATACGTGCATGCATCCATAAATTTTTATCCCCCATTCTTCTTAGTTATCAACAACAAATATAAGCAACAATGATCTAAAAGATAAACTTCAAATAACATCATCTTAATCCATAAATTTCCTTAAAATATCGGCTTAATAACTGCATCATCCAAATATATTCTCCAAAAATACAAGTTCACCCCTTAACCTCGTCATCAAGAATCACCATCTATTATGAGATTATTAGAAAACACTAGCATCATATTAACTATGGTAACAACTAACTGGCAGGCTTTTACCTTAAACATCAACATTTTCTTAAACATCCAAATATTTTCTTAGATCATTAGAAGTGTTGACCCTTTTGGAAGCGTGAAGTCAGAGTTGGACACCTATTTGGAAGGGGTGTATATTTTGATGCCTTAGTTGGTAGAAGGAGAAAAATCTTATACTCAAAATTTCATCTGAAATGGTTGCTAATAATATCTTGGAAATTCGACTCACCATTTAGTGTTGGTGGAAGGTTATTGATCCACAGTTTACCTCAACAGTGATTCATACGGGCTTACTTTAAAAGTCAACTATATATTTTTTTCGGGACAATTTAAGTTTTTAGAGCCTTTGATTTCTCTATGTGGTTTCTTCGAGTCTTATGTTGCATCTTATAAAGGAAAACATTGTTTCATTTGCCTGATTATTTTTCTTTTTTCATATTCACAGTGTTGCATTATGGAGATTTAATCCAAAAGAAGACAATGCAGTTTTTCACTTTCCGACTCAAGTCATATGCTTTCAACCAGGTTTTTGACCTTGGTGTTGTTGTAGCAGTTAATCATTATTCTTTCATTTTTTTTATTTATTTAAAGACAGAAAACCACATACAATGGGTAAAACTTTTACAGCCCATGCATTTGATCTGTTTAGAATGTTTGAATCGGTGAAAAAAAATCTCATAGTATTGGTATTGAGTGTGGACAGTACTGCAATCCTTTCTTCATTTGCAGGTATAATTTGGTAGTACGTTTTCTATTTTTATTTGACATGTACGTTGTAAATGGGGGATGTCAGATCCATGTGATCAAATAAGAAATTGCTGCATTTTTTTGGTAATAAATAAGTGTGGGTAAAAAGTAAAAAGTAAAAGCTGGTTGGAGAAGAACCAACTTAACAGGCTTATACTAACCTTTCTCGGCTTTTTGGCTAAGATCAAGTGTAATAACAAACTGGGAGGATAGACTTATCCATTTTCATTGGTTGTTGGGTTTATCTGAAGGGAAGATTGGGATGGTAAAAAATCATTGATCTAAATTGGTGCAAATAGAATTGAAGGGTAGAAGATTGTTCATGTAAAAAGGGATTCAAATAATAGGAGCCAAATCAATTTTTTTTTAATAATAATATATTTAGATAAATATATAAAGGGAAAATGACTTATTTATAAGGGTAAGATTGTTTAAAAAACGTTCAAAAAACACCATTAAAGTTTTCTTTTTTTAAAAAAGACCATCCAACTAAAGGCTTTGTATAAAAAACACCAAGTAAATATTCATTTTGTTCAAATATCACCTACTAGTGACCGGTTAAATGCTAATGTGACATAATACTTGATGACTTGGCATAAATGTGAGTGACATGGATGTAATTGATACTCCCCTTGACTCCTTCATGAATGGTATTAGGGCTTCATTCATGAACGGATTCTTCTTCTTTTCGTCTCCCGTGATGGCTTGGTATGTTTAACTAAGCTTTATCATACGACACCTCTTAATCGATCGAATTCTTCAACACTTCTCCCTGCAAAAATTTCCAAAACAAAAAGCACAATTGATCGACTTGTTTTTCTCATGTTACCCCTCATCACCCAATCGACTTGTTTTTCTCATTCTACTCAATTTCACAACATATATCAGCCTTACCCATAAATTATGACATGATGAATCAGAATCAGAATTCAATTTAGAAAAATGGGACAAAAGGGTCACAAGGGTGTAATTATCATTTTTACAATATGCAATTACTTTGTTATTGTTGATATACACAGAGAGTTAGCAGCAAATATGGGACAAAACCATCAAAAGGGCATAATTGTCAAATTAGCTTGGATGGATTGGTTTGACAATGCCACATGGATTATTATGACGAGAAAAGGTCATAATTTGTTTTATAACTGTAAAGTACCTGTTGTATTGTATTTTAAATGAAGAGACAAAACTATAAAGTACAGTGCCTTAGCAGTAAAGTACATTGCCTTAACAATTAGGGGTAAAATGGTCACACGGGGTAGAAAAGGGTACAACTAAATTACATTTCTATGATATTAAGGCATTAAGTCATTTATGTGATATTAATCCATTATAATTATGGTCTTGAAGTTATCCAGGTGTATGAGGTGTATTGGAACAAATGGGAATATATCAAATTCAATAGAAACAAGGTGGAATGCTGGAAATAGCGTAGGCAATTTAGTTAGATTCATGACAAATTGCAGGGGTAAAATAGTCATCAGTGGCATAATTGTCAGTTACCTACTGTTATGCCCTTTATCTGTTTTTCATTATTATATTAAGTCATTATAGCATTGTACTCTTAAGTTCTCAAATTACATTGTTGTTATAACAATAAATGGAAGAAAGATGCTATACTAAAAAAATGGGACAAAATAAGACAAAAGGGCATAATTGTTATTTTTTTTTACCTTAAGCTATTGTACTATAAACAATATATTCAATTATAGCATTGTACTCTCAATTTCTCGAATTACATTGAAGTGATAACAAGAAATAGAAGTAAGTTGTAGTGGGTATTAATGTGTTAAAAAGTCGTGGACAGAGGCATTTAGGACTCTTTATAGGGATCATGAAAGATATGAAACAACTTTTTTTTAGTGTTGATGGTTGCAGGTAATAAATTTGTATTATGTTGGTGTTGTATTAATTTGGTCTAAGTTTGAGTTTTGTGCAATCAGATTGGAGCATTTTATTATGATCCCACATCGGCTGAAAGTACTATAAGTTGGTGGCTTATAAGTCTAAGTGTCCCCTCCTCCTACAAGCTGGCTTTTGGGAGTGAGTTCTACATTTGGGCTTATGGCATGATACGGGCCTAGTATGGGATGGGTTCGTATCAATTGGTATCAGAGTCGTCCCCATCTTTCGGGGTGCCAACACTTGGAGTGGTGGCCTACGGAGTGGTGGCTTGGACCTGAAAAGAGGGGTGCCAACCGTGACCAACATAGCCGTATCCAACAATAACTCGGAGTGGTGGCTTGGACCAAAAGGGAGTGCTAACCATGACCAACGAGGACATTGACTCTTCAAAGCGTAGGGTATTGTTATGATCCCACATCGGCCGAAAGTACTATAAATTGGTGGCTTATAAGTCTAAGTGCCCCCTCCTCCTACAAGCTGGCTTTTGGTAGTGTGTTCTACATTTGGGCTTATGGCATGATACGGGCCTAGTATGAGATGGGTTTGTATCACATTTGTATCCCCTAACAAGATCTATTGGGCACCTGGTCTTCAAAAAACAAGAAGTGGGAAAATTATGAGAAGAGTCTTAACGAAAATTGCTTTTGGACAGTTAGATGAGCTTGGTGATAATGATACAACCACATTAGTAGATCCAATTCAACAAAAGGATATAATTGTCATTTTATATTAACTTATTGTACTTTGAACAATATATTTAATTATAGCATTGTACTCTCGAATTCTCAATCTGCATTGCACAATATTTCAATTATAGCTTTTTACTGTGATGTTTCTTCCTGTACATAAATCAAGAACTTGTTTAGCAACAGCAACAGCCATGATCTTGGCAGCACCAATGTTGAGCTTAATAAGGTGCATGACAAAAGGGCATAATTGTACTCTGAACTCAAAACTTTTTATCAAGGGACCTCATAAAACTTTTTATACTAAACCATTCAATAAAGGGACACAAATTCAATTGAAAAAAAAGGCATAATTGTACTCTGAAATGTTGTTACTTTAATTTTTTTCAATCAAAACTTTATATTAAGCCATTCAGAATGTATACAGGCCTCTTAAAAACCACAGACCTCTAATTTCAAACATTTTGACAATGTGAAAAGTAATATACAAGCAATGTAATTCTACTTTCATTTATTGCATGAGACCTCTCAAATCAATATATGGACAATCTTGAGTAATACTAGGAAGTAACAACAAGGGCAATTTGGTCTTAATTACAACAGAACCCACAAACAGTGGAAATTTAGTCATAAATGCAGCATAAATCGACCGTCTGTAAAATTTTATTTCACTAAATGAGGGTTGATCGAACCCTAGACAACTTTGTGGGCTTATGTGCTTCACTCCATCCGATCAAGTCGAAGATGATTGATTTGTATCTCTTAATCCACATAAGACGTTCCTAATGCCATGTCATCTTTTATTTTTCCATTTATTAATTTTTTACAGGTAACATTTTTCACCTTACCTACAGATGTCGGTCACTAGTAGGTGATATTTGAACAAAATAATACTTGGTTGGTGATTTTTATACAAAGCCTTTAGTTGGATGATCTTTTTTAAATAAATAAAAAAAAACTTTAATGGTATTTTTTAAATGTTTTAGAAACATCCTTACCTTTATAAGTCATTTTCCCAATATATAAACCATGAGCATTATAAAAATTTAATAGACCTTACTATCCAAAAAGTGATGTTAATTTTAGGGACCAATATAATAATAAAACCCTCCTAAAAGATTTTTTTTATACAAAATGAAACTATTTACATAATCCAAAGAAAATAAGAAACCACAAGGACCAGTTTTTGCTGTTGAAAATAAGAGGGGCACAAAGTGGGCAAAAGCAAAATCTTTAGGGTCCGGAGGGCAGTTATTGAAAATTGAAATCCCCATTTTTTCCGTAAAAGCATATATGGATTTTTCAAATCGCACATCGGCGAGGACATCGCCTCTCTCTTTTGCTTACTTCGCTATAAACCCTAGTAAGTTCTCTGCAATTACATATTGTTATTCGCTTTCAAATTATTACTAGGCTCTTGTGTAAATCAAGTCCACTTTTTATAGGAAGATAAGATTTTGCGTCTTCTTGTTAATTCTTGCGGGATCTATATTTATTTCTTCTCTTTTCTAAGGTTCGTAACGATTTTCATTCGAATTGTCTTCTGTGCTTATGTTTCATTCCTTAGGCATAAATTTGTTAGATTTCAATCTTTGAGGCCTTTAGTTTATGTTGAATTGAGGAAGTTTCGTAGATAAGTTTTATGTTTAGTTATTGCTGTGTATGTACATTGCTTTAGGGCATTTTGGTGATTTTGTTGTTGAACGTGCCTTAGTAGTGTCGGGCTATATGCTGTCTTCTTTTTCTCACTCATATCTTCTCTAGATCCTAAAATCTGATTTTGGCGAAGGACTGATGTACTTAACTGGTTTTAAAAACAAAAAGACTTAATCTTGATTTTGTCTATGCCAACTAAAAATCATATCAAATCTACTATTGTTTTACCATTTAGGTCGTCCAAATGGTATTACTTTTTAGCTAATGTACTGAATATCTTTTCCAAAAGGTAGTATCCGAAACATGAGATTTAATGTTTTCTTCTTGCTAAGATCACTTCACACAATCACAGCTTAGGTTTCTGATCTCTATTCTGTATATAGTTTTAATGCTCATTCCAAGTTGTTGTTTAGTTATGGACATATGGGTTGATCAGTTGTTGTTGTTAGAGTTTCTAGGAAATGGCAGAAGAAAACTTTGATGGACAAGAGACAGAAGTGATGCCTGAAAACTCTGTTCCTGTAGAAGTTGAAGTGTCTGAGAATGAAGAAAGTGAGGAGGTAGAAACTGAAATTACCGAGAAGGAACAAGGAGATGCTGCCATGGAAATCCCTGCAGAAAAGAAATGGCCTGGATGGCCTGGAGAGAATGTTTTTAGGTTGTTGGTCCCTGTGCACAAGGTTGGCACCATAATTGGTCGCAAGGGAGAGTACATAAAGAAAACTTGTGAAGAAACAAAGGCCCGCATCAAGATTCTTGATGGGCCTCCTGGGACTATGGAAAGATGTGTAAGTTTATTAACAAATTTCTTTATTTTGAAATTGAAATTGCAATTGGTTGCTGCATGCATGGTAGAGTTCTGTTGGATGGAATTGATCAATATCATTTTGGTACATCATGAATTTTAAATCTGCTTCAACTTATGTCTAAAATTATCTGTATAGTGTATTAGTGTGTAATTGTGTATTTGAAACAGAAAAGCAAGTATCCTAACGATGTTGAAAGTAAAATATAACTATAATTACAAGAATGTTACCTTGTCACATCAATCATTCTTTATGAATTTTATCAAATACCAACAGAAAGACCTTTCTGTTTGTGTGTCTACAACTAAGTTTCAGTTCAATAAGCTTTAAAACACAATACCTTAATACCACGATCCTTGAAATAATTTGGTAAAAGAAGAGTATATACTGATACGAGGATGATTTACCAACCAATAATAGGTAGACAATCTTAAGTAACAATATCAACATAAAGTTTGTATATAATGCAATAGAAGAAGTATATGGAAAAGTTGAAACTAAAAAAAAAAAAACAACACTCAGACCTTAAGGAAACAAGTTTATTATATCACAATGACTAGGTGAATATGTGCAGGTTCTCTCAAATATAAGGCAACATTTCAATTGTCAAAGTGGTTTCATTTAGAAGAGCCAAAGATCCAGAAGTGCTGAAAAGTCACTCTGAATAAATGTCCGAAGTACCCCTGGCGGATGTCACTACCAAAAAGCTTCCTATGTCATCTGGTAACTTCAGAACTGGTCGGTTGATGTCTTGCCACACATTCTTATACAAATAAGCAAAATAAATAGATTAACCAATAGGATGCGATCTATAAAAAGTAATACAAAAATAAAGTATCAAATACATTTCACATAATTGAAGAATCAAGAACATCTTTAAGCTAATGATGTTAAATATCTTTGGTATCTTCAAATGTATCAAGATCAAGTATCCAAATAAATCATGGTGTCATAATCTAAATTTCTTTTATAATTAATTATCCATTCTGTGTTTTCCCATTGCCAGAAAATGGTGTGAAGAACGAAAAACATTAATTATGATGCATGCTAGCTTCTTATTGAAACCGTGTTGTTCTTAATCTTAAAGTAAAATAAGAAGTCTATTAGCATGTTACTAATCAGAAGATATATTCTGTTTTATCAGGTCTTGATTTCTGCAAAAGAGGAACCAGATGCTTCGATTCCTCCTGCAATGGATGGCTTACTGAAAATCCATAAACGTGTAACGGATGTGGATGCTGATCCTACTCATCCGCCAGCTGGAGGTACAATCAGCACAAGGCTACTTGTGGCTGCCACACAAGCAGGAAACTTGATAGGAAAGCAGGGTGCCACCATAAAAACCATCCAAGATTCTTCCGGTTGTGTAATTCGAGTGCTCGGACAAGGTTTTTTTTTAAAAAAATAAAATAAAATAATATTCTTAAATAAAAGGTGAATTATAATAGTGTTTTTTGGATGCAGAAAACCTCCCTGTAATTGCTCTGCCTGATGATAGTGTTGTGGAGGTGCAAGGGGAACGTGAAGGTGTACACAAGGCGGTTGAACTCATTGCTTCACATTTAAGAAAGTTTTTAGTTGACCGCAGTGTCATCGGGATATTTGAAAAACAGGTAAGTTAAGTTTTTCATTTTTATAATGTTTTGATTCTCTTAAAAAAATAATAAATATTAATCTGATTAATGTTTGTAGATGCAAATGCCAAGTGGCAGGGGAAACCAGGAGATGGCGGCGGCTCCCCAACCATGGGCGGCACCACCAGCACCACCGGCTCAAAATTTTCCAGGTGGTGGGCCGGGATACAGACCGGCACAATTCATGCCACCTCAGCATCAGTTTGACAACTACTATCCACCTCCAGCAATGGATAACCAGCCACCACGGCAGCTTCCGCCATCATATGGCAGAGACACCGCCAGTATGGGAATGCATATGGCGCAACAGGAGTTGATGGTGAGTAAGGTGTCACAGAACATGCAGGTTCCGCTGACATATGCGGATGCGGTTATCGGGACATCGGGAGCTAATATAAGTTATATACGGCGTGCAAGTGGGGCCACGATTGCAATTCAAGAATCTCGCGGGAATCCCGATGAAATGACGGTTGAGATTAATGGATCCGCTTCACAGGTTCAGACAGCTCAGCAGTTGATTCACAACTTCATGGCTGATGCTGCACAGAATCCAACTGCTGCTGCTGCTGCTGCACCACCGGTGGTGGCTACTACCCAAGGCGTCGGTGGTGGGTATAACCAGTATCCTGGTTACCCGTCTCAGCCTGCGCCACCTGGACATCCACCTGCTGCTGGTGGAGATTATGGCAGCGCCCCCATGTATGGGGGCAGTTATGGGTACTAGAAGGCGGTCACAGTTTCTGTTGTATCCAAGATGCCTTGTTTTGTTTAGATAGTCGGTTGGCTATTTGATGATTTGATAATACTGAATACAAAGTGTTCGTTTTTTTTTTTTCTTCCGTAGTGGATTATTTATTTAGTGTGTGATTTTTGTTTGAATGATGGTTTTCTGTTTATGGGCATTACATCCATTTGTTTTGGTTGTTTTATTTATTTATTTATTATTGGGTTTAATGAACCAGTACATCTAAGAACGGATGTATTTCTTTAAATGAGGGTTAAAAAGGTAATGAACGAGATTGTCATTCGAGATCAATTAGAGTAGTGTGATAAGATAACAAATCCCATAGCTATTTAAACTGACAAATGGGGGATAAAAGGGTCAAAATGGTCACAAACGACTATACGACCATTACACCCCGTTCCCGAGTTGTAGCAAAGAAAAGAAGAGAAGAGAAAAGAAAGTAAGGAGAGAAAAGAAGAGAAGAGAAAGGAAAAGAAATTTGCTTTTTGTATTCCCGAGTTGGAGAGAAATGGAAGAAAAGTTAAACATTTTGTTCTTTCTCTCCAAATCCTTCCAAATCGGAAGGAAAGTTAGGAGGGAAAGTGATCCCTCCATTTTCTTCCACTTCCCTCCTTTAATGAAACTCGGAAACACCAATTTCTCTTACTTTCCTCCCACTTCCACTCATTTCCTTTTTTTTCTCTTCTTAAATTGAACTCGGGAACGGGGTGTTAGACAAAATAATAATAAAAAAACTTTTCTAATGATTCTACTAGTAAACTATTCTAACAATTGAAGGGTTTACTAGTAAACTGTTCTAACGATTGAAGGGGTAAACCGGTTCTTATACGATGTTCAACTTCAAGCCATTTCTTATAAATTGTTTTATCTAAACTAGTTAAGTTTTCATACCAGCTTTTTTGAGCATCCCTACCATGGATAGAATGAAATATGCTTGTCCTAATTTTCTTTCAAGGATAGAGATGCTCTTTTCTAGACATGACATATCAAAATTATGTATTATACCCGATAGTTTAGTGGTTGAAGTGTGAAATTTATAAAAGAGGTTTGAGGTTTAAACTTTAGCACGCTCAAAATTATGCTAGTGCTCCACAATTTATTCTATTTTTCATGGATCATGTGTGAGTTAACATAAGTTGGCCAGATGATACATGGTCTATCATGTTCTTATAATTTAAATTATTAGTTTTAGTTACTTTTTAAATATATCAAAATATATTTTGTACTTGTATTTGAGTTACATAATGTTTTAGATAATCATAAAAATGACCACATTGTTATAAAAAAAAATATATAGGTAAGTGATTTAACTTTTACCTATTTACTAAAATAATCTTGAAATCCGAAATGAGTATCTCGCATTCGGATGGAAATATGGTGCGCATTTTTTATTCCTCATTGCAGTAAACGCTTTTCAAAAATTCTCTTGACATATAAATTCAAAATGTTTATTTTCATTATTTTTTCTAGGAAAAAGATACCGTTTATGCCTTTGGTATCGTAATTTACTTATCTTTCGTCAAGGTTTCTCAATTTTTTGTTAAATTTAAGTAAAATATGAAAAAAAAAAAAAAAAAAAGGCTTGCTCTTCAGATTTCGAATATGTAGAAATTTCATAATACAGTTTTATGCATGAAATATTTAGTCTGAAATTTGAAATATGAATATAAAATGTATTTTTTTGTGAGGAAAAATACAAATCTGAATGGACTCATTTTGAAGATGGCGACGATTTTTACGAATTATTAAAAAGTTGGTTACCTTTTTTGGATTTTACGATAAATGCTGGAATCATATCATGGAATGGAATGGAGTAAAAATTCAATATCCAGGAGATGAGGACTACAACCCCTACCACCAAAAGCCATAAACAAAGGACCATGTCTTTCACGAGGCCCTTTTGTTAGAATTTCTTTAACAGAAGTCTCATCTTATCTGATGTTCTGAAACTTAACTGGCCATAGCCCATAATTACAAAGAGGGCCTTTTAAGCCAGACAGACTTTAATAGTAAAACCTCGCGCAAAACATTTTGCTTTAGAACATAGCACATAAACGTAAATCAGATTCAAACTTAAAATCTACACTGTCACTACACACGATTTTTAACTACCTCACCATAGATTAGATGTTTCCAGTTCCAGTTCCAGTTCCAGACGAGATTACCATTTCCTTGGATGCAGCCAATAACCACTCATTATCCCATCAAAACTAACCCACCTGCTCTCATATTCTTAATTCTTTCATCCAAAGATCAAACTCACCTGTCTGTCTTTCTCTCTATCAACTCCTCAAATTACATAAACGCCCCCCCCCCCAGATATCATATCGGAGCGGAACAAGTAGTCCTAAAGTGTCCGGTTTGATTACACCGACTACAATGCACGATCCGTTTGACGGAGCCTCGATCCTCGGACCTAACCCTCCTCTTCCTAGGCCTCCCCGGTGGTCTAATGGACTTGGGAGGGTTAATAATAATATCCATAACATTATTACCACTACTCCCTTCCCCTATTTGTGAAGACCCCATTTCCTTCCACAATGTCTTATCAGGAACCGGATGTATCGTTTGAGAATACGCCTTCCTATAACTCGCAACCGTAAAACAACTTTCAGTAAACCTATGAACATTCTGCCTACACGACAGCAAAGCCGCCACCGCATGTGCGCACGGAAGCCCATAAAGCTGCCACCCCCGACACAAACACCTTCGGTTTCTTATATCAACAATATTCGTCCCTTCATGCGATATCACCTCGAACTCCGCTTCGTTCGCTCTCAGCACTTGATAAGTCCGCGCGCGATCGATCGCTTCCGACACCCGTCGTTCCGCCGTCGGGACCAGAATCGAAGTCCACTGCATGCTGGCTTCGCGTCTCTCGTTGAACCACATCATCAGCTGTCTCCGGATGCATTCCATCATTTGGATGATCGGGAGTCCGGAAGCTTCTAGAATCCATACATTCAATGATTCCACGATGTTAGCCGTCAGGTGGCCGAACCGCGTCCCTTCGAAATACGCGGTGGCCCACAACCGGGCCGGAACGCGTCGGATCCAGTACGCCGCTTCTTGCGACACCTCTTCGATTTCCAGGATTTTCTGTTCGAATTCCATGATTGTAAGCGCGTTGGCTGCATCCCAAAGATGGTTCACCAGCATCGTGTTGTTGAACTCCTTCCGGAAGCTTTCGCTGAGGTGGCGCATGCAGAACCCGTGGAAAGCGGTTGGGAAGTTTTTGTCCACCCCTTCCACAATATTCTTCTGTCTGTCTGACAAAATCGTAAGCCTCGGCATGTTTTCGGTGTTGATTTCTAACAAGTTATGAAGCTCCAAAAGGAACCACATCCAGTTGTCTTGGTTTTCTTCATCAACAACACCAAATGCTAAAGGAAACAGAGCACCATCTCCATCGAACCCAGTAGCTAAAAGCAAAGTCCCCAGGTACTTGCTTTTCAAAACGGTTCTATCCAGCCCGATAAGCGGTCTACACGCGTTCAAAAACCCGTGTATCGAAGCTTGAAAAGAGATAAACAGCCGCTGAAAACAGTTGTCAGAAGGATTCACGTAAACAGACGCGATACTATCGGGATTCGTGCTTCTAATCTGATCACAATACTGAGGGAGTAAACGGTAATCTTCTTCAAACGAACCACGTAAAGCTGCCATGATCCGTTCTTTACCTCTCCACGCTTGTTTGTATGATAACGTGATTCCATGAACACGGTGGATCTCTTCTAGAATCTCTTTCGGTTTGCATTGTGGGTTTTCTTTGAGGCGTTGTTCTACTGTATTTGCAACCCAGTCAACCGAAGCTTGTTGGTGTCCAAGATGCGCGATTCCACCACAGTTATGTTCCGAGTGGATTGTTCTGATTGTGAAAGTTGGTACACCTGGCAATTTAGCAGCATGGATTCTCCAAGGACACCCTTCGCTTGCACATTTAGCAGTGAAACGTGTCTTGTCAGATTTAACAGTTTGTATCTCAAAGTGAAGAGCGATTGCAGTGTGTCTTAAAGCCCTACGACAGCTGGCGACATCTGGAAACTCTTGACCCACCATTAATTCGTAGTTTGGAGGAGCCACTGTTCGGCTTTGGATTACTGGAGTTGTGAGGACGAGATCGGGTCTGTGAAAAGATAGAGGTAGAGGTACTACTACGCCCATGTCAGCAGTGTTCTGGTGTACTACAAGCTCGTGGTTGTTATCCACAACGGGTAATCCATGATCGTTGGATAAACCCATCTCATGACATTGATCTGATAGGACTAATTGGGAATCGGGATTTGTGACACCATCGTCGTATCTGTTGTTGTCGTGTTGTTGATTGGTGTCATCGAATTCGGTTGTGGCTTCGTTTCCATGATTATGTGGATGTGACATGGTTGCAATTTCATGGTCTAGAAGTAGTTCATGATCATGATCATGGTGTTGTGTTAGAGTTATGCGATGATTATTGTTCTCTCCTAATTCGGTTTCATGCTTGAGGTTCTGTGTCTGTCCCAGTTCAGAGGTATGATTCTGATTCGGATTCTGTCTGCCCACGAAATTCTGTTCGTGTCTTAATTGGTTCTGAAGGGATGATATGTCTGGCCTTGATCCAACAATCATGTCATGGTTTTCCATGATATTACTCTCACAAAAGTCACTAGTTCCGGAGGACAAGAAGCATCAATCTAGACCTGTTGCAACAAACTCATGTTTAGTTATCTTTACCATATCACAAACCTCATAATAATGTATGCTTGTATTTAGCAAAAAGCATAAACAACACCCATCAATCCGACTACAGAATGTTAAAAGTAGAAAAGAATAATGAACTATCTTTGGTGTTTGGGCTGATCATGCATTCTTTAAAGAGCGTAAGATCTTCAGATTGAGATTATCCTGGAATGTGATGTTAACATAATGGTTCTCGCCAGCTAAATACAATCTACTTCTCTATGGAGTGTGATGTTAATTGTTAACATAAGACAAAGTTTGATTTTAACAAGCACTAGCTTTCACAATAAAGATCAAATGATTTTAACTTTTACTGGTAACTCGGAGAGCATAAAGTTGTCTATGAATGAATAGAAATTCACAACTAGAAAATTGACATTCATATGAAAACACTGGAACATTACAAATATACATACGAGTGAATCCAGAACAACGAGTAGTCATTTAAAAGTAGAACCAAAATCGAAACTCACCAAACCTCTATCAGATCCAGCGACAACCAAAACCAATTTTCAACCTACAACTGAAGGTTCCAGGTGCGATAAAAATTAGAAAACCTGTAAAATCAGAAAGAAAAAATAAAATCAACACTAAAATTTTGTAATCGGTAGATTTCACAATAAAAATATTAAGCTATTCGTACTTCTCCTGGTAACTTTGAGAGCATTTAGTCTCGTCGAATCAGAGATTGACATCTCAAATTAACACTCATTCAAAAAAAATACAGGTAAAATACAGATACGAGAATAGAGCAACAATCAGTCATCTGAAAGCGGAACCACAACAAAAACTCACCGAGCCTCCAACGGATCAAGCGATAATAAAAACCAAATTTCACGACACAGCTTGACGTTCTAAGTGCTAAAAGTTTCGAAAATCTGCAAACACAGCCAGGACGAAACCGTGAGGAACAAATTTGAAATCACCCATTGATCTTTACATAAATCAACAGATGATTCAAATTTCTGTTTGAATCAGGCGTGGGGGAAGTTGAATTTGGCGGGGAATAGGAGGGAGTGAGTGAGGAGTGAAAATACCTGAAAGAGGGCTGAGGGTAGGGATGGGGAACACAGAAATTTTGAAGCAAAAGGGCAACAAGGGCACAAGGGGAAAACGAAGAATGAGAAGGTAGGGGTATGGATTGTCTTTTTAGGGCTTCCTTTTATCCAGAAAAAAAGAGGGCAATTAGGTCATCTAAGCCAACTTTCGCCTTCAATTTTAATATGTTACCAATTTTACCCCCCAATAATTGCCAACGACTCGATAAAAATACATCCATCTCCAACTTATGTTTATTTTATATATACTACCAAACACTGTTATAATTATATCGTTACTCATATATATTTTTTATTTTTTATTTTATTTATTAAATATCCAGCATAAATTGCAAATAACGATTGCGATATTAATATTATATTTTGTCGATTATCGATTTATTAACGTCTCCTTAATATTTCCAAATTCTAACCCTACCTGTCGACCTGACATAATCCAAAGGCGAATTAACTTTTACACATGACTCGTAAAAAAACGTTGAAAACATGAAAGCTATGTTCTGTGCTTGCTTTTATGTATGGATCCCTTTAGTTCTTAAGGTAAGTTTCAACCACTGTAAGAGATAATCATCTAAAAGAAAAGCTAAAAATAACAAAATCTCACTTGTGTGAAAAAAAAAAAAAAAAAAAAAAAAACATAATGAGCAAGCAATAGTTTCACTGCTCGACAACCAAAACCCATAGATACCATCAAATCTGAGTTACTAACAATTCCGCCTCCTGCTCTAAACAATTAAAATTACACAAAAATCAATAAGAATTCTTCAAGAAGACAATATTCTGTCTGCTAATGGAACCTCAAGCTTATGAAGAACCTCACTAACCACCTTTTGAAGGGTTACATGTTTAAGAAATCCATTGTTTGCTGTTGTTTTTGACAGAATTGTGATGTCTTCCTTTTTGTTCAAATTTTCATGGAATAATTTGTTCCAAAAAGTGTGGTCTTCATTGAGGTTTGACTCCTTGATGAGCTGCTTGACTTTTTGTAAGTTTGCAACATTTCTCCCGGCCCCACAACCGGTGGCTGTTGCTGCACCCACTGCATTGGCTATTGTTAATGTATGAAGTAATGGCATCTTGTGTATGTAACCAAATGCAATCGCAGCCACAAAGCTGTCTCCACATCCAACCGTGTCCATCACTTCCACCTGTCCAAATACATTTTTAATTTTTATCATATCATCCCAAAATTAATCTTTTTTTTTTTTGACTTATGTATAAAATGTTACCTTGAATGAAGGCACACATGAAATGCTTGATTTGGTGATTAAAATAGAGCCCTTTGATCCCATTTTAATGATCACCCATTTTGTTCGGACTCCTTTACTTAGCAACTCCTTTCCAGCTGCTATTGGGTTATCCAACCCAGTCATTGATTCAGCCTGGCATAAAACAACATAAGATGATGATGATAACTGAACTGATAGTGATATTATTAAAGATTCGTATTAAGAGAAAAAGATAGTGCAAACCTCCTCTGAAGTTAGAAGAAGAACATCACTAAACCTCAGCAACTTAGCAAGTGCTTCTTGTTCTTCAGGTGTCCCAATAGCAAGAGACTTTCCCTTTGGTCCAGGGTCAAAAAAGACTGATGTTCCAACTTCAACAGCATACTCAAGGGCATCAGTAATCAGATTTGCAGGAAGCTCATCAAAGCCATACCCATTACAGAAAAGGACTTTCGACTTTTGTATATTCCTCTTTACTTCATCAGATAATGCTCTCAACCAAGTAAATGCAGGCTCCTTGCTAAAATCTGCTCGACTAATAAACAAAATGTAGGTCAAATATTGATGAATTATGATCCGTGAAATTGGCACCTTGAATATAAGCTACCATAAACTCGAACGAACCTTTAATTAATCATGTATACCTGCAAAACCCGTGTCTTTGTAAAGGATCCACCAAGACCCAACATAAAAGTGTCTCGTATGCACTACTGGAACTGTTGATTATATCATCCTCTTCTCTCATCCCTATCAGATTAATCCCCTCATCTTGAAGAACATCCAAGAGAAATTTTCCATATATTTCATCCCCAACATGACCAATCACAATGCAACCAAGTCCCAATCTTGCTGCTGCTATAGCCATGTTGCAGTTACCACCAGCTTCCCAGTGTTTCTATAAAGTGAAACCAGTCAGTTCAAGCCCTAAACTGAGAGATGTTGATATATCATATATGACAATGACAGGAGAGGGGTGTGCAGATGTGCATTAAAAATCATCATACGCATAAGCATGCAGGTTGCCCAAATCCTAGAAACAGATTCAGATAAAAACTACCAAATCACAAATCGGCTTTGTCAATCACTATAAATAAATAACTACCGTGACTTTCAAGTTGCATTAAGGAGACTAAATGGCTAAATGTATGAATCCTATAAGAACATAGTTACAGCATGCTTGGAACTGGGAGCTCTGTCAAATTTCGAAGTTAAAGGCCATCTCAAATTAACAGAAATTAATCCGATTACCCACAGTAACTGATAACCAAATTGCAGAAGTAACTAAATCGAAGAAAACGAAGAGCATTTACAACAGACCTTATCAGGAGGCGATTTAGCAAGCTGTTCCATGTAATTTTTACGTTCCTCAAAGGACGAAGGGGGCAAATTGGGAACATTAAGCACAACGTCAACACATAGGTTTCCAAGGGTGGCGACATCAAATTCTTTCTTTCCGGAGAAATTGACGGAAGAAAGACGGCGATGCTTCGAAACGGACACATCAAGTCCATAACTTATGCAATTAACAGGGACATGAGTCCTAATGACATGATTATGGTGAGTGTAGCAGTTGGTTTTGAAGTCGGAAATTCTTATTCTAGGGTTTTGGTATAATAATGGGTGAGAGTAAGATACCCCATAATTGGGTATGGGACTGTGTCGATTGAGGTCGAAAGTTCGTTGATGCATTAATGGAGGATGAGGGTGGAAGCACAGTACTGATACGTATTACTTGTTTGTTTGTGAGGCAAAAACATGAAAGGGATAAACAAGGTAGATCGAAATTGCTATATTTTTCGATGAACGGCAAAGAAGGTGGGTGAAGTTAACATCGATTTATTCCTGCCCCACTTCTTTGTTGGAAATTTACACTTTTGTTGTAAAATTGGCGTGGTTAGCCACTTTGCTAACAAAGACATTTTTAATTTAACAATTCGCTTGGAGGCAGTGGATTCAATCGCATGCGAAGAAGATATTATTATTATTATTATTATTATTTTTTTAATTTTATTATAGGATTAGGGTTCTTTCTAAAATGGGGGAAGAGACAATTTTTTAGTCAACCGAAAAAAAAAAAAAAAAAAGGAAAATTTAATGGGGAAATTTATCAAATAACCAAAAGGATGGGGTCTTTGTAGTGATCATAAAAAAAATAAAAATAAATAAACACAAATTTATTAAATGATCACTGACTTGAAGCTCTACAAAAATCCTTACTCCGAGATATCGAATCCGTGGTGAAAAAGACAAAATAATGTTTTTACACAAATTTATCAAATGCCCAAAAGGAATGGGTCTTTGTAGCAAATGATTATAAAAAAACACAATTTTATTAAATAACCACGACTTGAGATTTGCAGAAGCCCTTACACTTTGAGAAATCGAACACGTGGGGAAATGAGTACGGCTCTGCGAAATGCATGTATACCTTTGAGGAAATGGTAGTTGAAAACATTAATTTTTTTCCGATATTTCCGCAGAGCAAGTCTCTGCAAAATGATGTACACCTCTAAGGAATAATTACTCTTCTACGGAAATGGTTGGTGGAGTGGTTTTGAACAACCAATGATGGGTTTTTTATGGTATTATTAGTATTTTAACACTTTGACTGACTAGAAACTTTTTTTTCATTTTTGTAAATGTTTTAATCAATAGAACTTGTTTTTTCATTATCTATGCGGAGAGTGTCCCGGAAGAATGAGTTTTATTATTCTGTGTGTGGGAAGGTTGTGGTAGTCGATTAATGGAAATGAGGTTTACGTTAGAAATAATGTTAAAAACTTTGGTTTAAATCTTCCTCCAAACTGTGACCATCAGATGTTATTACAAATGGTTAGAAATAAAACATGTGTGTTCAACAATCATATATCTTTGTCTTTTAAACACCCGAACTGTGGGTATGTCATGGAGCTTGCAAATGAAGCATATGTATTTTAACTGAAACATGTAATACTGAAACAAAGCAAAAAGTGCATTTGAAATTATCAGTGCTTAGTGGAGAAGTTGAAGAACAACCAGTGGTGAAGTTTCAGAACAACGAGTTTATTAGAGCAAAAAGTAGTAGAGGCTGTGGAGAAAGACAATCCGGTGGAAACCGTTCCTGTGGATGAGGAAATAACATGGGAGTGGGTTATCAAAATAGATCTTTTGATAACTTTGTATAATGTCCGGTTCCCGGTACGTATTTTAATTTAAGTTTTTGCATTTTTACTCTGGGACTCGACGAGTTGGAGGCCTAACTCATCGAGTAGATGTGAGTTTTGGGATGTGGGTGCAAGAGTCTACTCGATGAGTCGGAAGCCCCGACTCAATGAGTAGGCCTGTCTGGATGAAACCCTAAATTTGAGGGTTTGCACCATATTTAAACACATTAAGTGGCCTCCACTCTAGCCTCCATCACCCTCATACCCCATTCTCGAAACCCTAATCAGTTGTGAGTGTTCTTGAGCTATTTTGGTGCCAGTTTTGTGATTTGAAGCTTGGAGAAGGAAGGAAAGGCTTGGAGGTTCAAGAAGAAGGCAGTAGATCCAAAGTCTGGGTTGCATTTTCAGCTTGTTTGAGGTAAAAAGCTTCAACCTTGACGTCCCATTTGTTAGATCTTCTTTAAGGCTTGAATCTTGTCATTTTTGGGGCATTTCTAAGTTACCTTTAGATTTAGAGCGTAATGTAGAGTGTTGACTTCAGATCTTGAACCTTGGAGGGTTCTCCTGGCATAAAGGTGCCAACTTTATTGCCATAAGAGCCCCATGCATCTTGTAGACTTCATTTTTGGGCCTTTTGAGCTTGAAGACCCATGCATGGATGTAAAGTTCATGACTTTACGTGTTATATCGACCCTAGGAGGACATATCTACACTTTGGGTGCAATGAGCTCAATTGAAATCGATTGTATGGACATGGACCTTGGGGGACTCGCCGAGTTGATTCTTAGAACTCGGCGAGTCGGGTATTGGTTCCCCAACCTTTTCTGTTCCTGAGGAACCTGGTTGAGTTTAGGAGGGGACTCAAAAAGATGAACGTGATTATGGACTTTAAGATCAAAGGACTCGACGAGTTCAAGGATGAACTCAGCAAGTTCAATGCAATGTCCCAACCGACATGAAGATGAACTCGACGAGTTCAAATGGAAGTCCTGATTCTGCCATAAGAAGAAACTCGGCGAGTTGGAGGGAAACTCGACGATTCAGATCGCGAAGTTGAGAATCTCTGAATTATGGAACTCGGTGAGTTGGTGGACAAACTCGGCGAGTCGAGTCAACCAGATGTTGAATTTGACCAAGGTGTTGACCTTGACTTTGACCTGATTTGACCCTTAGAAAGGGGTTAAGAGCGTGAAGTGGTAATTAAGGAAGGTTATTGTGTAGGAGTTGATAGGATTTGACCTTGGCATCGAGGACAGTTCAGACGCAACACGACATTGAGGTGAGTTACCTTCTAGTAGAAGTGGGTCTAAGGCACCAAGCCAGACCCACTAGTAAGAGTTATAGTATAGATAATTGTCTTCATGATAATTATCTGGTATATTGTTATCTGTTATGATTATGTGCTAGTCTGACATGATGTATTGTGATAGTAGGGGGAATAGTCCTGTAACAACCCGAAATTTCTATCTTATACAAATCTTACATTTCAATCTAGTCAAACTTACTTTTACTAACGTTTAGCACTTTTGGTGTCCGTTTGAGCATTCTGAGCTTTAATACATCAAAGAATTAAGTGAAAGAATGTGTCAGTTGAACTTGTAACCTGTCAAACAAACCTTAGCCATCAAAAGAGGAGTTCACGGACAAACACTTGGGTTTACGGCCGTAAACTCCAAGTGACCGTGAACCCCTTGTATAAAGGTGACACTTAGCCATTTTTCCTTTCATTCTTCAATTCTAAGCTAGAGAACTCAAGATTCTCTCCCAAGGATCTTCAAGACTTCCTTTCAATCTTCACAAATGTAAGCAAACTCTTCCATCTTTGTGTTGATTACATCACTTCTACTTGATTCACCTTGGAATCCACCCACAATTTAATCTTTTATGCTTAGATCTTCAAGATCCTCAAGAACACCAAGAACACTTTTGTGTTTTGGGCCGAAAACTCCCTTTCTTAGCCTTATAACTGTAAGTCCTTAACCCATTTACATGTTTATAAGTTAGTATTATGGATTAGGGGCTTGAAAACATCAAAAATCAACCAACCAAGGGAGTTTACGGCCAAGGCAATCTCCCTTGGCCGTAAACTCTAAAAGAGGGTGCAAAGTTACCCTACATTCATTCCTAAGGCTTGGAACTAGGACTAGAACACCTTCGCTTTGAGCTAAGAAACTTAAACATCGACTTAGTACAAGACACCATGGGTTTACGGTTGTAAACCCATAAGGGCCGCAAACCCTTGGCCGTAAACTGATGGAGAGTTGGTCATTGGGCCGTGAACTCAATAGCAAAGCCATACAACCATTATATGCAACCCTTTGATCTTATAACACTTGAATAAAAGTGTTTTCCATGTTTTAGGGTGTCTATACTTGCTTAATTAGTTGTTTAAACACTAATTGTAATCATATATGTGTCATTATATGTTAAATAGGATCAGTGTGTGTGTTCAAGTCTTCACTTGACACCTAGCACCTTATCCAGCACTTTCATCCAAACTACTCACTACAGGTGAGTTCATACCCCTTAATCAACCTTTTAAATGATTTTAAATGCTTTTATGGGCGGGGATACAAGTTGAATATCATACTTATTATATCAATCACATGTGATTAATAACTATCAAACATATGGATTTACTATGCTTTTAACTGTTTATCAAACAAACTTCATCAAAATGCTTATCAAACTCTTTTAGATGTTAAACTCTTTATCAAATTTAATTTTATGTATCAAACCTTTTCTATTACAGTTTCAAACTTATATATTGTTAAAACCATGTCTAATACATATATAGTTATATAAGTAAGGATTGAAGGACTTAGGACTGCCAACTCACTTTATTTCTTGTTCCTTGTTTGGTTGTGGACTTAGAGTACCTTGTTGATTGCCTGAGTATCATTGGATCCTTAGTTATATATTATGTATATATGTGTAGATATAAAGACTTTTATCTCAGTTCAATACATTCAGTCATACAAACGATTATTCTAGTAAACTATAATAGGTATAGTTTAGGGTTATACTACTCATTACTTCTAGTTCAATGAATCATACAAAGAGTCAGTTCATTTATGAGTCAATACTTACTATTATGAGAAACTATACAACTATACTATGATGAGAAACTATACAACTATACTATGATGAGAAACTATACAACGATACTATTATGAGTATCTATACAACGATACTATGATGAGAAACAATACATTCACTACACTAGTACATACATTACATATATAAGTATATTATAACATAAATGTGAACCACTTTTTCGGGGCATGTCTTCACTGCCATGGCCCGATTTGTAACAAGATTCTCCTGGAGGGAAAGCGTGAGTTTGCGTATGGATCTATCATGTATTGACTATCCTACACCTTGCTGCTAGCTACAGTGGGACCTGCAGGTCTATGGGTGCCAAATATCATTACTTCCGACGTCTTTCATCGTCGTGTTTATAGTCGATAGTATGGTACAATTAATCACACAATACCTTGATATAAATCCGGTTTAAGATGGTTAGTACAACAATAGTTATTATAATACAGCACTACAATACTACATTAATTTCCCCTTTTCATTCACTTTGTGATCATTTCACATAAACGATAAAGTATAAACTATATTTTGATAATGATAGTTACACTTGGGAAAATTATACACTTTTACAGGAAACAAACATACAAAACAGTCTTGCCTTGGTAGAAGGCTACTTTTAGTAGAAAATATAGGATTTTCTAGGAGTTACAAACATTTACAAACATTCACATACTTTTACTACAAACGTTTACAAACTCATACTTCAAACGCTA